AAAAATATTAATTAACTATTTATTACACATAAGAATAAAATTTTGTAAATAAAAATATAAAATTCATATCAAAATTAATTTCTAAATTACTTTTAGATATAAACTATTTTTAATATGAAAGCGATTTGCAGTTTATATTTCTTATAGTCTATAAGTTATAGACGTCTTCGTGACGTCAAACGGTTTCATAAAATCGTTGATACTTTCCAACGATAGACTTCAAGTAAAACGTGCCTTTCCTGAGCTCATGTATGGGTCCGGTGGGGACATATCGGTCCATATTATAGGCCGATTCCCGACCATTCAGTATATCTTCAAACACTTGAGGCGACACTCGATGGCGTGCGCGGAGTCGGTCGGGAATGTCGACGATTCCGGCCACCAGTTTGGACACAACCCCGGGGTCTGGGCTGAGTCGGGCCGAGAACATGGATGAGGCCATACCGGAGCCGTACGAGAATATAGGAGTCTCCTATTTGCCAAACTATCTACCGGTTTATTTTCTCACATTAAATTGCAATATTTATGATAATTATTTATAGAAACCCTGGTGACTCCATTCCCATATTTATTCCAAGCATATCAAATAATGTCTAATTAAAATTAACATAATGTGTACCTAATTGCAATTAATTGCTTAACACTACTTAATATTTTCAATAATCTTTATAAAACCTCAATCTTAATAAATAATATCAATAAAAGTGTAATTTAATTAAGACCACCTAAAAATTCATGTGACTTTAACAGTTAGACAAATCAATTTTAAAAATTAATTCAATTAATTTATAACAATACCGGGAATTAATACAAATAACCTATGATATGTGGGTGTTTGTATTAAGTTATAACATCTACAGTATGTTGTTAAGATACAATTAATAATCATGCAAAATAATAGCAATTCCTATCGCATTGTAATTGAAATATTTACCTGTTTAAACTATTTCACAATACATACATTATAATAATTGTTACAAGCAACATTTAATAATGAATAAAATTTATTTTCAAAATCAGACTTTTAATTAAAGATTTAAGGCATGGCTCTCGTCCTCCTCAATAGTCTTTTGAATCCATGAGATATAATGCTTTCCATAGAGTTTCGTATAGACGTCCGCCTTAACCTTATCGACCCGACCCCACGAGGCCATGGCGCTCAAAAAGAACGGGCCATCCTGGTGTCTACTGTCCTTACAAGCGATAGGGGCGCCGCTATTTAACCAATTGACGGATTTGTCCCCACAAAACATATAGCCCTCCTTATACCGGGGGTACAGATTTTCGCAGTCGATATCAGCTTTCACTTCAATGGTCTCGGGTGTAAGCTTACGGCTGGTGTCGTAGCTGTTTAGCTGGCATTTGGTGCCTATGGTTACAGATGATTCTATGCCGTAGTCGGACAGGCATATGGCGCTCATGATTTTGGTGTTCCCTGGCAACCGCAACTGTAGGCCATTCTTAAGCTTAATGAGCGCCAAATCATAGCCGGCACCCAGAGTTGGGTTGTATTCCTTTGATTTGTATATCTAATGATATAAAACACATTGAATAGTAAATTACATTAATCAAAATTATTAGCGTGTTAGTAAAAATTTTGCAAGCTATTACTTTTAAAATATATCCACCTAAAATATAAAGATATTTATATCTTACGGTATCTATACGGTACTGTATATTATAATCCAATAATTTACTAAACTAGAATAAAATATCTTGAATAAGGTATTTTTAAAAATAATATCATAATGACACTAGCTTATAATTCCTATCGTTAGCTAATTATTATATTTTGCAAAGATCAGTTGATAGGTTATTTATGTAAGCCAAATATATTCATTTAAATACTATATTTACATTGTATAATTATTTTATACTAAACCTGTGAAAAAATAAATCAAAAATTACTTTCTCCACGAAAAAAGGTCCCTTAGTGTCGTTATTGGGTATCTTAATCAGGTATTGATCGTCTTTCAATGTGAGACAACTGGCGGCGCCCACTAACCAATTATCCTTGATTATACTGGCCAGACACTTGTTATCCACAAACTTTTTGTCATCTGTCGGATCCTTTCGGTACACCATTGCTACCCAACCCTGTGGTGATGGGTTTGTTACCGAGTGCCCACACCCCTCATAAGGCCCGTATTGGGCGTATACATTGTTAGTTAATGTAATAATTAATACAATTTTTAATATAGTTATCATGGTGGTACTAATACAATTAATAGTTTATTAATTTTTATGGTATTACGGTATAATATTTTAAGCGCTTATTAATTCAGTAAAATTAAGACTTATTTATGAGTGTAACTGCAAAATGGTTTTATGTTTATTGATATCTGTATTAATGGTATTATGGGATTAGATCGATACGATTGTGTGACACTATCTGTTGATTTTTATTTATATTGTCAGATAAATGCGTGAAATAAAGTAAATTTTATTGAAAATAAATAAAAA